CGGGGTTGGTCGAGAGCAGTACTTGCAGCCAGAAAGGTCCGTGAAACGACTTGGGTAAGGCGCCTTCTCAGGAGCTCACTTGAGGAACAGAGTTTTCTTTTCTGCAGTCGTTATTATGAGTTTTTCCGGTCGTTTGGCAAGATCCCTCACAATAAATCTGTCAGGATAGCCGTTCTCGCGAAGCAGGTCCCGGATTCATTTAAGTTCTTTATCAACGCCATCTGCCGAACAGATTCTTCTAGCTCTTTGCGCCAAACAACAGACTAGATTACGTTTCTGTCGAGTGAGTACGAAACTGTAAAAAATCGTATATTACCCAGACAAGGTGTCCTTTCGATGGACGCTTCCCCGAATGCTGCCGCTTAGAAGGACGTCTAGGAAAGAGAGAGAGAGAGAGCCCGTCGTTTCCACCTCCAACGTAAGCCTGGTCGACTTTTGCCTTTAACTCCCCCCTAGCACAACAATGAAATCGACGATAGCTATTTGAGAAATGCGAATGGTTCGCCGGATCAGGGGAATTGTATGGTTGGCGTTTCAGAGCGCTTGACTGGCTCTCCATTATCAAAGCCTTTTTTTAAGAAAATCGATCAGAATTTTGAATAGACGGCCGAATTAGTTGGCCTTGAGCTGGCCGGTTTTTTTCTTCTTTCGCTGCCTTAGCCTACTGGCCGTCGTTTTTGAATGTAGGTGGCCTCTTACGTTGTGTGTCGTCACCTCAATGGGAGTGGGTTGCATCTGTGCTCCCTTTTGGGTAAATTCATCGACGGGCCGTACTTGCTCGGCATTTTTAAGCTCTGTGTGACCGTCTTCTCCTGACCAGTGCGTATGTAATGACGCAGGACCCTATAGGCCGCAGAAAGGCCTAGGTGCCTGTTAACGGAATTGGCATCTGAGTACAAAGCCTCAAGCGTAAGACGCTCTCTTCCAGAAGTTAAAGATCCCGCTAGCAAAATGTCAACTGTAGTCGCTCCGAACATTCCTTCATTGGCGCATTTCTTAATAATAATCACTTTATTAATAGTGGCAGCATTAGTTGTAACATAAGCAGTGGTAGCAGCATTATTGTTGATAGCAGTAGTCGTGGTGGCAGCAGTAATCATCTGAATGCTATGGTAGGTGTGTTATCTCATGAAATGTTAACCGAAATTCTGAAATGTCTCGTCGATTAGAACGGATCACAGAAGTAGCGTTACAACAAATAATTATCGTGCGGAAAAACCCCAGAATATTCCAGTCACGTCAGGATGTCGACTTTTGAGCGAACTTCGCCCCGGCCGCTCAAAAGTACCACATTCATTAAAAAAAAGACTCCCTGGGTGGTACGAAATTTCCTCATTCATTTTCAATTCCCTTGCAAATTCAAATATGTTTTATAGAAAGCGTGCAAAACAATATTGATTCTTGCACTTTTTTGGTAGCTAAATTGGCCAGATGTGGCTATGTAGCCCCACCTGAAGTAGACAAACCCCAGCCACCTGCAATACCTGACCGGCGACAATGGGGGTTTATACAGGTGGGGCCGGGGAACGCACAGGCGACGAGATCAAGTAGTTGTATGCAAAAGAAAAGCTATTGGGAATGCGCGGCTATACTTTGAGTGGTTGAGAAATAGTTGCCCGAACCCCTAACCCTAACACCAACCTCTAACCCTAACCCCTAACTCTAACCCCCAACCATAACCCCTAACCCTAGCCCAAAACCTAACCCCACCCACAACAGTATTGCGTCCGTCAGGTGGGGCGACATAACCACAACTTACCGTTAAATTATTCAGAAGATGAAGATGCGATCACTGGGACAAGAAGTTTATTGGCCTGACGTTTCGGGTTCTCACTCGAGCCCATCATCAGAGACATTCGCAGATAGAGGTAAAGGTGGCACCAGGAATGCAGTATTTATAGCACGT